TTAAACGAAACTTTTTTTTTTTGTTTTTTTTTGTCTTTTTTTTGTGTCCGGCAACGGATCGCAACCCTCAGTGTCGCGCCCGTACCGGACCGGGACCAGCAACGGGATCGCAACCCTAGGTGTTGCGCCCGTACCTCACTCAGCCAGTGAGCGGCTGGTCTGTATGTGGGATCCGAACCCTTGGCGGGAGCGCTGCTGCGCTCCCAAGCGGCGCACTGTAGCAGTGCGCCACCAGGCCGTCCCTCAATGGCAATTCTCACTAAGAACTAAGTGTGTTTAAGAATATATCTACAGATATATGCAGATAGATATAGAGATAGGCAGCCAGAACAATTGATTGATTCATTGATCAGCAGATATAGGTATAGTTTCAAAGTTCTCAGAATAAATTTGGGATTCACGAATTCTATTTAAAGCCTAGCTTTTACTTCTACTGACCCTGTTCACTAAATTCAAATTATTTCTATGATACATTTTCAAGTTTATATCTACTGCTTCAACTAGTGGGAAGGGATGTTGTTATAAGACTATAATTCCCTCTTAAGGAAAATTTATCCTATTAACCTCTTTGATTCATTGTCATAGAGCTTTTAAAAGTAAATTGTAGGCAATTGTGGTTATGGAAAACAATTTATTTGCCTGTGAAATATGGTATTATTATGAAGTACAATATGTCCTTTGTTCAGTACCTTGCTCATATGAGGTACTTCAAAAAATTTGTGGAAAAATAGAATTAGAAGGTAATAATCTTTCCATGAACTTTTTGAAGTACCCTGGTACTAAGCTCATACTAGAGTTTTCGATAGGTTGAATTAGTATATGGATTCTTAGAATTGCTATTAAAATAAGGTGTGATGTTAAAAGACTAAAGTAAAGCAAAAGGCCAAGGGAGATGACAACATGGATTAAAGGAATTATTGAACCGTTATTCCAGAACACATGGATAAATCTTAAAGATCACCTTCTTTAAACTCACTCTGTATCTTATTGAAGTAAGCAATAAAAAACTCAGTCTGGTCTCAATGTGCTAAATGCTACTGCTGAAAGGGTGTTAGACTGAAGGAATCCAGTGGTGAGCTGTAAGTGACACATGCACCGAGCTGTTAACAATTAACCTTTTTCTCCCTCTTGGAATTCACAAGGGACTTGGCCCACAGGAAGCTAGAGTTAGCTTTCTTCTCCTTTCAGTTAGGAGTAAATGCCTTTTGCAGAAAATACTTCCTGCTGACCATATTAAAGACAAAGTTGAGAATAATTTAATATAATATCACCATCCACAAGTTAGTTAAGTGTTGAAAGAAGTCAGCATGCATAGAGGCTGGGGAGACTTACTCATAAGAGTGTAAACACTGAATAATGTTGAAATCCAAGGCAAACTGAACAGGGCAAATAAAATCATTACAACAAAAAAAATCTCCCCCAAACTCCTGTCAGACACAACAATACGCAAGGATGATTTTCAAATTATTTTAGAATATTCCTAAGGGACAGGTCATAAATTCTTGCTTACATTGAGGATGAATGTATATGAAGTGACAGACTTTTTATTTTATTTTTTTTATTATTTTTTTTATTTATTTTTATTTTTTATTTTTTTTTTTGTCTTTTGTCTTTTTTTCCGTGTCCGGCAACGGATCGCAACCCTCAGTGTTGCCCCCGTACCGGACCGGGGACCGGCAACGGGATCGCAAGCCTCGGTGTTGCTCCCGCGCCTCGCTCAGCCAGTGAGCGGGAGCCGGTCTGTATGTGGG